AACTTCATTTTTTGTACAACCACCTTATACAAATGACAAAAATAGACTGTTACAAAATATTCCAGTTAACTACCCTTAAAGTAATTTATATTCTTTTTCTAAAAATTAAACAAAGCAATATATAATATAAAACATATGTGTCGTTCACAAGCTACATCACGCTATTTTGTTCCATTTTTTCAGCTTTAATATTAAATATTTTAATCTATAAAAATTTTAAGTAAATTTTATTATATTGAATTTTGATATATTGAAAAGACAATAAATAAATATTAAAAAGGGTCGTCTTTAAGTTATATTACCAATTTAGGGGAAAGAAGGTCATGATTAAATCTACTTTTAATGTTAAGAGCTATATCAAAATGAATGTGAAGTTGTCAACGAACGGGAAGGAGGAGAAGTTATATATATTTTTATATTACTTTAGAAAATTTGAATATATTATAATCAATATAAAAAGAGAAGGAAGACGAAGAATGAAGAAACAGTATTTTTGAAAACCTCAAAAGACAATTTGGTATACAGGAGGGTTAAAGAAATTAGTCCTTGCAAAAAAAAATTTCTCATATGAATTATGTTATGCTGCGTCTACAATAGATTAAAAAATGTGTAGCAATCGTGTATCTTGTATGACTTAGAATATTGCAAATTAACTGCTGTTAATAAACAAAAACATACCCTCAAATTCAGATTTTTAATATTAATTTAATTTTTAATATTAAAAATCTGAATTTGAGGTTATGTTTTTGTTTATTAACAGCAGTTAATTTGCAATATTCTAAGTCACGACTTTACACTACACTACACGATCGTTACACATTTTTTAATCTATTGTAGACGCTGCCTTAAAAACAAAACTGTCCTTAACATTATACAACATGCAAATAATTTCCCTATCTCTTCTTTTGTTTAATTTAAAAAAAATTGTTCATACACACGTCCCGCATTAGACTGTCTTAATATAAATTGTCACAACTATTAAAATATGCTTTATGATTTCCACAAAAAGTTACACATGTCCCGCATATTAACAGTTTTATAATTTTCTTATAATTAAATATTATACTGAAAAATAATAATTATATTTTTATTGATGTTGCTGACGGATTATATATATTTTTTGTCATAAGTAATTAAATATCTATAACCCGGACAAATGCAATTGGAAAATTCCAAAGGAATATTTCCAGCAAAATAAAAGAATCCAATTATAAATATATGAGTTTCTTTTTAACGAACCAAATGGTGTCGTTTTATTTTTAATTCAATCCGTCTTTCAGAAAGATAAATTTTTATATTATTTAGAACATAAATGGAAAACTAGTGTCGTGCTTGAGTTAATTAACCCTCTAATGCCGAGGGTGTTAAGAAGTTATCATAAAATTTTCTCAAGGCTTTAGTTTATCTAATTTATGCTTCGGATTTGGAGGAAAATTTTTGAAATTGAAAAAAACGGTAAATTCACTGTTTTTTGTTATTGGACTTGAAAATGCCATCAGGACTTTATATATTATATTAATTATTTAAAATAAAATCAAACATAAGTTACTAAACACATATTTAATTTGAAATATATAAAATTAAATATATATGTTTGACACTTCTTACACCAATCTAATGTGGTACAAAATAAGGAAACAGCTAAGTAAGTAACGATTGTACACAAAAGGATAATAATGTACTTTTTGGCTTATGCCTATCCTTGGTTCTTATTTGAAATAGAATTGTTTATTGAACAAAGACAAATAGAATTTGAAATTATAAACCAAACATAATTTGAAACTAAATTCATGTTTAAATTTTTAAGGAACTGGTAATTAAAGGAAAAACTAAATTTGTAAAAGAATCTCTGAAAAGATTAATTTTTATGTAATAAACATAAGTTAATTAATAGAGTTGTTTGATTCAGCCTATCCTTAATTTATTATCAATAAAAATAGACATTATGAGAAACGATAAAGATCTTCTATGTATTCAGGAAACAATCCCATAATTTAAAAACTTATTAAATATAGAATTTAATTTTTCTTTTCTTTGTATTTATTTAGGTTGTTATGACCGAAGAAAAGGAATTAATAACAATAGTTAATTTCTTAAATAAACATATTTATAACATCTTTTTGAAAATTTACATTAAAAAAAAAGGAAAGAAGTCTTATTATAATGACTTCCAGTTTACAAGTTCAATACCTGTAATAAATTGCAGGCTTACAATTAATCAGTAAGTCGAAAATCTTGTTACGACTCGTCCTCGTAACATTTTTTTTGTTTAATATGTAAACAGATTACTACATTTACAACTATTTGTCTACGTTCGACAAAAATATTATAAATATAATTGGTCATAGGGAATAAACATAAATTTACGTAAATTTATTATAAATAATTAGGACATATTGCTAAATCAATTTGCCAAGAATATCATTTTATAAATTGTATTAAACATTAAAGTGACGAAATCAATTTTTTGTCAATAATTAAAATTATAATTAATTTCGATAACCATGTGTGTCAAAATAGGTTTATGATCTACAATTACGCCATTTGCTTTTAATTCTCCCTAAAATATTATTTTGAAAATTACACTTGAAATAATGCATTTTCAATATATTCTGCAAGAAATTTTAAGTACTTCTGTTAGGGACGGAATTTCCGTCACTTTATAATTTTTTTATATAATTATAAATTAATAATTTTTATCCGAATATTTATTATATTATAAAACACAACACACATTATTATTCTCATTGAGAATATTTTAATTATTGTTTCGAAATCATTTAATAATTATGCCAAAAGTCTTTTTATATAATTTATTTATAATGAATCGTTAAATTGAAATAAGTTACAAAATAATAACATGATCTAAATTATTATTATATCATTTAAATCTGGGTCTTCAATATATGACAGTTACTTAATCCATTTAATTTGGAAGATTAAGTAATATTAATGAAAATTATAAGTAGAGTAGGTGATTGAATGTATCACTACCCAAATTAAAAATGCAACGTTGTTGGAATTGCATGAAAATAAAAAGAAGTGAGTTGCTAAATCAATTTTCCCTCTACATGAATCGGGAGTGATCATTGTCACCAATCTCATTATTTAAAGGAGTTTAAATAGTAGGTCTTTCGACAAGAAAGAGTAAAAGAGTTCAGTATCATTTCCCGCAGAGCGGATGTTGTGTTGATCCTCGCAAAAGGCGGATGATTATATATTATTGAAGTCCCACAAAAAGTGGTTAAAAGTATTGAATATTCCCCTAGTCAGGGTTGATTTTGTTATTAATATTAAAAAAGTGCAACTGCTTTAAGAATATAAAAAGTTAAATAGATAAATTGAGAAATTCATTAAAAAAAAAAATAAGAGAAGACTTCCGCATACCTAAGTATCAATTGACAAACAACGAGTAATACGATACTTTTCTGTTACGATTATAATTCTGGTGAGTCTATTTAAATAATTGATTTTAATAAAACAGTTTCTTCTTAAATAAAATTAAACATACACAAACACACTAACATCATTCATAACAAACAGAAATTTGTATTTTTGAAGATAGAATCTTCCTTGTTGCTATTTGTGAGACTTGACGTAAGTCAAGTAGCTTAATTAAATTGATTATTGAGTTTTGTAATAAACCTTTCTTTCATGTGTAAAGCAAATATATTGAGAATAAATTGTAATAAATTGAGTGTTAATTTAATTTGACTCCATTTATTTATTTCACTTTGAATTACTTTTGTCTCATGTTTCTTTTTATCATTTTCTCTTAAATACCGTCTATCCGGGTTTATTGAATTAATAATTTACTGAGAGGTAGTCCACTACCTTATTCTAAACATTGTTTAGCGAAGAGCATTTACGCTTTCCAAATAAGCGGAATTGTTAATAATAAAATTTAGTATTATTTCTAACTTTATTATTTTCTCTTTAAATTATTTATTTTATTTTTGTTTATTTAATTTCCGTCTTTAACAACTTCATCAAAAGTAAAGATTAACCTCTGCATTGATAGGTTGGACACACAAACCTTTTATATTAAATTAACAATAACTGTTACCTAACAGTGATTGTTATAAATAATTGCAATCTCTGCATTTAACAACGATTACACTCCCAAAATTTTCATACGTAGAATTGTGGAAATTGATGTGTTACAGACGAAATTCCATAATATATATTTTCTAATTTTAAATATTTAATTATTAATTCCAATTAACTTAACGATTATTTATAATTTTATTTTTATTTATTTTAATTCTGAAATCAATTGTTATTTCGCAAATGAGTTGGAATTATTGAACTCAATATTGCGAAATAACACGAACTAAAGTATCATCAACTTTGATAATTCTGGGACTTCCAATGTATGAAGGTTGCCACATTAGTTTGGAAAATTAGGAAATATAAAAAAATCATAAAAGGTAATTAAGGTCGTTGAACCAATCTAATTTATCTTTCCCGCAAGGCAGATGTGTTTCCCGCAAAAAGGCGAAAGAATATACAGTTTTATTCCCACGAACAGTGATTGAGATTATTATTTAATCCCCGCATTAAGGGTTGAGTTATTTAAAATAATACAAGTGAATATTCCACAAATTGTGAAGTTGATTGATATAAGAGTTTGATGTAAAAGGAAATTTAATTTCATATAAATTGCTTTGAAATATAAAAAGTGTAGATTCAAGTTAAAGTCTAGAAGTTTTATTTAAATAACAATTCTTTATATTTCAATTGAATTGTTAAAGAGATTCAGGTTTGGTGAACCCAATACTCTGAATTTTATAAACACATTTTGAAATATTGAAATAATTGATTCAAGGAGTAATTGATGAAAATTTATTAAAAATAAAATATAAGAAATAAAGAGTAAAGAACGAAATTAATAATTGTATTAACCCGGCTATTTGTGAAATTCTTTTAAAGTTTAATTTTCGTCACGCAACAGTAGGAATTTTTTTGTAAGAAATTATTTTTTACAAGAATGCAGTATCTTCACTGTTAGCTGTAATTTATTTTCAAAGACAATTCGCAATGTTACATTCTCATGGATGATTAATGTAGTTATATCTATTATAAATAAAGTTTGAAGTTCTTCTTGGTAAGTTTATTCCTATTTTTGAATGATAAGGTCCCATTGCTCTCCAAGTCTCTCTACAATTAGGACAAGTTTTTGTTGTATAACCATGTCGTCCGCACATGTGACAAAATATACGTTTTATTTCAGTACAATTTGAATAAGGATGGCCAGCTTTTCTGCAATTCCAGCAAAGTCGTGGTGTTTTTAAATTTTTTATATTTTTGTTTCTTGATCGGCTAATGAATGAAGTGTTACAATTAGAACCATTTGAATTCATATTTATCGTCTTTAAATTTGATGTATTATCATAACTGAAGAGAATTTGCATAGGATTAGTTTGAATAGAACGTTGAAACATCAGCTTGATTTCATTTTGAATTGCAGATTCAGTTTGTTGAGGTAAGTAGTTGATTGTTTGAGTTGAGGCTTCAATTTGTTCATATGGAAAATGAATATTTGTTTGCGACGAAGCTTCATTTAATTTAGGTAAATCATAAATTTCACTTGACAGTGCGAAGCGATCTTTCAATCCTATTACTCGTTTGAGAGTACATTCGTGATTATTTCCATGGCTTAGAGTATTTACCATATCAAATAAGGCCTTAATTAGTCCCGGCTTAAATTGTTCCAACCACAATAAAGATGGTAGATAAGATCGAATTGGATCCCAAACTGGATCTTCATCAAGCTTCACAGGTATCTCTTCTGGTGGACCTGGAATATTATCTGGACCGAGTGAGCTTCGTTCTGCTGGTGGCAAAGGAGGAGGTGTCGGCACTCTCGTAATTTCCTCAACACCTTCTGTTTCATCATTTTCCATTTCATGGCTTAGATTATTAAATAAAAATTCCGGAGAAGATGTTCGAATTTGATTTTGTTTTTCTTTGTTATCTAAAAACATTTTAATGATGTTGATTTTTCAGATTTAGCCTCATTAACAAATCATCAGAAGTCTTCTGTCGTTTTTGCAGTAGTCCTAAAAATACAAAAGAATTAAATTAAATATTTAATAAATTAAATAAACATACAGAATAATTTAAAAGAATAATTAGAAATAACTTTCTTTTGAATAGACTTTATTATTTGTTCATCAGTGCATTATAATTTCAAAATCCAAAATTTCTCATCAGGTGTTCTAAGCCGACCTGTGGAGAAGTCTTCAGACCCTAAAACATTGTTCAGTACGATTTCCGCGAGCATCGAGTTTCCAGCTCTGTCTGGAACTACCCAGATTAAAATGCCTAAGCGCTCCCGTTCGGTACCAAGGACCCGCTTTAATCTATGTGCTTACACGGATAACTCTAAAGTCTACGGAGACCGGATAGGATCAATTCAAGAGAAGAATTTTTAAAGATAATATAATTTTGTTTTTATAAATTTTTGTCGAAAGACTAGCCGGATGTGGAGTGCCCACGTCTTCCCCTGTGATTGACGGCTTAACAAATAATTGTAGTAGAGAGAGAGAGAGAGAGAGGATTTGTCTGTCCCTATCTTTAATTGTGCATGTACTAAAAGAATATACGACATACCGCAAATGCGCCACTCAAGTGATTGTGAAAGGACAGGTAAATTTTAAATTCATGTTTTGCCCATCGGAAGGTAAATGTCCGACGGTAAAATAAGGAAGGCGGAACGGTAAGTACTCGAATTATCGTTCCGGGGTAAACTATAAATTTGTAATTCAATCCTTCTACTTCCCTTCCTTCTTGTTTGTAAGAGAGAGTGGAATTACATTTGGCAAGATTTTAAAAATAATAAAAGTAACATTTTAATTCTTTTTCTTTTCCCTCTATTCTATCAATAATAATTTTAAAAAAAGGAAGGCGCAGTATACTTTCCAATCTCTTCTGGAAAATATCGTCAATTTAGATGAAACGATACCATAAATTAAAACAAAGCCCTTTAGGCCTTGACAGTTTGGACCTCCGAGAATCTCTGAAATTTGAGCCATCTCAAAAGCCCGCTGTATTGTTATAATTATTTTGAATAATCATTATTTCAAAAACAAATAATTTCTTCGGTTCGTAACAGCAAGAAGCGATTAAGCGACAAATAAATTCACTATATTTTTCCCACTTTTTTCGCCAATCTACCCCTCAGACCATGGCTGTTCGGAGAATAGAATTTTTGGATGAAGTCTGTTAGTGAGGCAGGTAGAATCACCCTTTATACCAGGGTTGTTTAGAGTAAAGTTTTGAAAAGTGATTGTGTTGAGTTAGTTTATTAATTGATTATTGATATTATTGCTTTCAATTGAATATTGATTTTATTGATTTGATTTTGAATATTGATCAGATATTAATTGGATATTGATTTGAATAATAGAATGTTAGTGAATGGATCCACTACCTTTATTATTAGATTTGTTCGAAGGGCATGTTGATAGCCTACCAAAATTTATGAATGAATACATAAACATGATTATTTGCCTAATGGGTAGTCTAAAATAATTACTTTCATTATGTAATAAACCCTTCTATATTAATTAATAAAGTTCATTGAACTTAGGTAAAGTTTTTTTTAAATTCTAAATTCTTTTCATCTACTTTAACGTGTGTCGCTCTTACGTGAGTTCGTATTTGTCGTGTTAGTTGTCAGTTCGTCTCTCTATATTAAAGAAATAAAATTTAGTAAAAAATGGAATCTTTTGGTGATGTTCAAAAATTGCGCGAAGCTTTCGCTTTGATGACTGTTGGAGTGGTGGATGTACCAAACTTCCTAGAAGCTAAAAGGGAACATCTTGCGAAGACGCATGTTGATATATATATATATATATATGTATATATATTTTTTTTAAACAATTAAGTTTTATATATAATGAGTGGTAAGAAGAGTAGAAAAATTTTGTGATGCAGAGAAAAATTTTCAAAATATTCTTTAAATATATACATATATATTTTTTTCAGGAGCCTATTGAAAATGCCCCCATGTTCGTTGCTCCTGTTCGGTAATTTGTTGGTCACTGTTGGCCTGTGAATTCTGAGGCTATGCTTCAGTGTCCGCAACCTGCGCGTGTTTTTAAATGGAACCAGGAGTATAAATGGAACTGGGATCACGCTCGCTTTATTACTCGCTCTTTTTGGGCGAGTGATAAATATTTTGATCCAATTCGGTCTGTAGTTTCACCCGACGAGCCGGTTGAAACTCCTATAAGTTGTCTGAATGTCAACTCTGAAGTTTTATAAGTATATTTTTTTATTTTGTTTTTTTGTGTCTATGATTTTTTTTCTTCTCTTTTTTTTATCTTGAATAATAAAAAAATTCTTTTTTTTTAAATCTAGCGGCGACATGCTCCCTATTCCCGGGTAAAAGGATACCGTGTTTTAGATGACGGATTACAAGTAGTGTTTGTTCAGCGGTTTTCTTTGGAGTGGGACGAATACGTTTGCCATGATCCATTTTGGAAAAGGGTAAAAAAAAAATTTTAATAAAATTTTTTTTTTACTTTTCTTTTAACATATACAAAAATGTGAAAGTTAATTATTTTTGAATTATTTATTTCTTATAATGTTTATAAAGTGTTATTTGTTTTCTGTGTTGCATAATGTGTCCTCTTTATCAAGTATTGTATTAATGAATTGTTAATAATATTAATAATTTATTAATAATACGTTACGAAATTCATACGTAACAGTGAAATTTCATTGTTATTAATAAATTGAATAATTGACAAAATTTCATTTATAATTTCAAAAGAAAAGAAAAAGGAACACACCTTTTTCCAAAGAAAATTCCAAAGGGGATTTTTCCAGTAAAATAAAAAGAACCCAATAATAAAAACTGGTCTCTCTTTTTAAAACAAATTTCTACAATAAAAAAAATAAGCCTTATTGTAATGACTTTTAGTTCAATGCCTTTAATAAAAATTGCAAGCTTGTAGTCGTTCAATAAGTCGAAAAACTTATTGCGAAACTGAAGACCCTTCTTGCACCACAATTCTCCACCTGCAACAATTAACCTATATCTATTAAAACTAAATGAAACACATCCACATTCGCAGTTTTTTTGTGTTTCAACCAGATTAACGTCGTGAGTCTCGAGTTATTATATTGTGAATTAAAAATCGTAATCACGAATATTTAGTTAACCGGGACTGTCCGTCTAAAATTAAATTTGATAAATATAACTTACAAAATAATTATTTTCTTAAAACGGCGAACAATAATAAAATAATGGAGTGAATTTTACAAGCGTCGAATTATTGTTTTTCTAGCGTTAAAACCGTGAAAGTTAATTAAGTGGTTATTACATTTTTCAATGGTTTTAAACGTCAAATAACAATAATAAAAAAAGCACAGAATTATTATCCTATTTCGGTTAATTGGTGATTATTCCTTATTTCCTTAAATATTATTTATTAAAAACAATATTTGTTAATTATTATTACAAATATGTTGTCAATTACTCACCAACAACATACACAACACTCACACATATAAATTTTCTAATGTTAAATATTCAATTATTTTTTTAAATTAATTTAATAACTATTTATAATTTTATTTTTCATTTATTTTTAATTTTGAAATCAATGGTTATTTCGCAAATAAATTGAGATTATTGAACTTCATATTGCGAAATAATATGAACTAAATTACAAATCGATTTTGCTGATTGTAGAACTTACAATGTATAGAAGTTGCCACATTAGTCTGGAAAATTAGAAAATATATATAAACCATAAAGGTAAATCAGGTGGTTTAAAACCCACACCACTAATAAAATGCAAGTTCGCTAAAACTTGTGTTACGGACGGATTTCCGTAATATTTAAAATTTTTTTTAACATAAATACCCTATGGGCAAAAAACTATGTTCGTTCTAAAAATGTTTTAAGGACGTTCTTAGAACGTTTCATGTCCGCCAAATAATGTTCTGGAACATTTTAGGAACATGGATGTTCAAATAATGTTCCAGAACATTATTTGGTGGACATGAAACGTTCTAAAAACGTTCTTAAAACGTTTTTAGAACGAACATGATTTTTTGCCCACAGGGTATTATTTATTAAAAATAATACTTATATAATTAACGTTACAAATACTTTGTCAAATATATACCTACATCTATACAACACACACACATACTTAGTTTCGGACACTAGAATATTCCAATAATATTTCTAATTAATTCAATAAATATTTATAATTTAATTTTTTTTATTTAATTTCTAAATCAAAATTATTTCGCAAATGAATACAGATTATTGAACCTCATATTGCGAAATAATTTGAACTAAATTATTGATCGATTGCACAAGTTGTGGGACTTACACTGTATAGAGTTGCCACATTATTTTGGGAAAATGAGGAAACATATAAAGTATACCGATAATAAAGGTGGTTGAACCGATCACGCCACGATTAAAATGCAAGTTTTGCTAAAACTTGCATGGAAACAACGAGGTGTTGATTGCAAAATCAACCCTCCCACCACCTAAAATTATATACTAAATGGGTGTGATCGTTGCCACCAAATTATTGTTCGAGGAGTCTTAAATTGTTTTTCCCGCAGAGCGGATGTCTTTCCCGCAAAAATGCGGATGAATATAAAGTTTAACTCCCACTAAGAGTGGTAGAGAATATTATTTTTTCCCCGCAGTAAGGGTTGAAATTCGTCAAGCTTGTTTATAAGAATACAAGTGAAATTTTCCACAATCTGTGAAATTGATTATCGTATAAAAGTTCATTCAATTCAAAAAAAGTAATTTGAATCATTCAGTAAAAGTGTCAGGAAGGATTAAAGTGTATATTCAGCGAAAATCTTAAGTGTTTTATTTTAAAAAAAAAAGAATAATAAAAAAACAATTATTTATATTTCAAATTAACTGTATAATAAATTCAGGCTTGGTGAACCCAATGTTCTGAATTTTAATACTGGATTTGTGATATTGAAATAATTGTTGAAAAGCAATATTTGAGACAAGCGTATTAAAAAGAAAATATAAAGATTAAAAGGGAAGGTAAAAGACTTCCGC